AAATGGAGGTGGAAATTACTCAGGCTGGGAGCTCTGACCAGACTCCTGTTAAGAGGGTGATATTGGGATGCCTCTAAATGCTCCACATCACCACAGAGAGACCCAGGAATCCACATCTGATACTTACTCTTCTGCTCCTGTGGATGGTCTTCCCCTCAATTCAGTTTAGTCATTTGAAATTGATCGTTGTGAATAGCCTGCATCAGTTAAAATTCTCATAGCCACTCTGAATAGATTATGAAATTCTATATTTTTGAGAAGAATCACCCCAAATTTCTCGAGCACACAAAATCAAGTTACTTAAATGATGTCTATTTCATATTCTGGGTGCATACATTTGCAATTAGCTATGCTAGGCATTTTTCCCTTACTTAATTTCACTATCATCAAGTAGTATTTATTAAGCACAAACTGGGCTAAATTAATTTTGCTATGAGTAGCAGTCTTAGATGCTTTCTCTCTGCTTAAGAGTCCTTAAATAATCCATCTACCTGATAAATGACATTTGTTTCCCTCAGGGGGGAAAAAGGCTCTTAAATTTGAATTTTTATCTTATTATTTCAGGGCTTCAATAGGGTACAGTCCTCTCCTAATCCAGCATATTCAAAGGTAAAAAGTGCCAGCCATAATGTGATGTACTGCATGGAATTTTTCTTATACATATGCTAGTGTTGATGTTTTTCCTAAATTAGAAAAAAGATGGATTGTTTCTAAAAAATTAATTCAGTTTTAAAAAAGTTTAAGTATAAGCAATAAAGATACAATAAACAATAAAATATATTAAATTTTATGTAATGTAGTTCATCAAAAGCAAAGGAAAGCCATTGAACTTGCAAATGTTCAGCAAGTGATTAAAAATATAAAGTCTTCAAAGTGACTTTAGAGACTTTGAGCAACTTTGGAGAAAATACAAAGTGAAAGTTTAATGCAGATTTGGAAAGGGGAATACTGACATTTCTTTCCATTTAACAATAACCACATAGCATGTTTCACTTGAAATTCTAGCCACAAAAATCAATTGGAAAAAAACTGTCATCAAGAACACCCTAATTTCATCCTAGTCATAGTTCTGAGTTGTAAAGAAGCAGACACACTCTTATATTTTGTTCCTAGAAGCAAATACACTATACTTTAGGGAGTGCCTAGGAAGAATGACAGAAACTAAAAAGCAGAAGCCTGCAACAGGTGCTTCGATGCAAGCATACTCTATCAGGACCCCAAGAAGTAGCATTGTGCTGGTGTGGTCCATGCCACATTGTGAATGATGTGCTACTGCTCCCAGTGATGCTTAGGAGGCTCTGCAAGGAACTTCAGATACCATGCCAGCCTGAACTGCATGACTTCTGGGTGTTATTTCTCCTCCTCCTTCATGTCTGTGCGATTGTTACATGTATATATACACCAAAAAAAAAATGCTCTGGAATCCATGGGTATATCATTCATGCATGTATATTGGGGAAGGTGAGAAATGGCATCAAGGTATCTTTCTTCCATCACTTCTCAGTGTCTAGGCATTCTTTCTCCCTTGTGTCTTCATTTTTCTTGGGTGTTGTTTTTCTTCGTATCTTCAATGTTCTGAGTTACTTTAGGATTTGGATAATTTGGAGTAAGGTAGACTTGCAATTTGGCTTACTCTGGGAATAGCTCAAGTTCCTGCTCGTTGTCCAAAGAGCACCCAAGAGTAGCTGCACGCATTTAGTAGCAAATAGAGGTCTGCCTTTTTATTAGAAACAACTCAAAGAGGAAATGAGAAGCTCAAAAAAGCAGTAGCTTGGTAGGCAAGAGAGGAGGAAAAAAAAAAACCCGAGACCCTCAATCAGAACCTGAGTCATTCTGAGATTTTACATCTGGCCTGGAGTCTGCCTTTGTTTCTATCATCAGAAGCTCTCAGGAGAATACAGCACGCAGAATACACAGGAAGAATTTGGTCATACTTTTCAAAGTAGTTTAGTTTTCAACAATCTACCTTCCCTTAAGGGAAAAACACCTTGAGAACCAATTAGTGGTATGATGGGCTGGGAGAGAAAGATCGGGCTCCAATAAAAAAAAAAATATTTTGTTGATTTCAGGTAAAATCCTAGGGCCAGATGCTAATATGGATGCCCCTGTGCTCATCTTCCCTGCCCCAGGGACACTGCAGTCTGTTACATTTGTTTTTCTTCAACCAGGACAGGAACAAAGTCTCCAAACAATTTTTGTAAGACATAATCCAGATTCATGAACAGGTGGCAATTTTCTGAGGAGTAACAGTGGATTATTGGACTAGCAGAAAAAAAGAGAGAGAGAGAGAAATACAATTTCCTTCCCCTTAATCCGATTCTTCTTGAACAAAGCTCAGGGCTCTGCTGCTAGCAGTGAAAAAGGTAAACAAGACAAATGGATACTAACCATTCACAACAAGGCTAAATTCATGATTGATGCTGCTTACTGTTTAAGATCAGCTCTAAATATGCTGTCCAGTGGTTTTCAATGGTGTGATTGTCTGACTCAGCAGACCCAGGTCAGGAAGGAAATTTACATAAATGGAAAGTGAAATCTCTTGGCAAGAAATGGGACTGTAAGAGACCGCTTAGGTAAGGAGATGCTCGCTTCCCCAAACAGATACTAATATTAAAACACACACCAATATCTGCTAGAGCTGAAGCTATCACCCATTTAAAAAAAAAAGAAAGAAACAAAAACAAAGATGTTTGCTTTTAATTTCCAAGAAGTCATCTCACTTTCCATTTCACTTGGAATAAATTTTTCACAAAAGAGCTGTCATTAGGAATGGGAAGAATAATATCAAGCAGGTGTCTGCAAACACAGCACCTGTACACAGGCAGAGTGCACACTTGGACAGCTTCCCAAGAAGGATGAACATAATACAAGTCTACACCAGGGAGCAGCCCTATGTTCAGGCACACAATTCCATGTTCTGAAAAGTATCTTCACTCTAAAGCAGGGAAGCACAGGCTATGGAGTCTGATTTTATACCCAGCAAGTTCAGATTATCTCACAACAATAGAGCCCTGAAATTACTGTCATGTGCAATCCCCTTTAATAAAATGACATAATAAAACTGTGAAAATGAAGAATAAAATCGGAGAATTCATTTTTAAAACTTATCATGTTGCCTAGAGTACACCAAGCAGGAAGCATAATGGGTGTTGGTGTTGCCATTATCATCATTTATTTGAGACACATTAGAGCGTACTTTAGAGTCATTCATACACCTCATTGCTCTGTCAATATCTGCACCCACACTTCTGCAAGTTCAACTGTGAGGACCATGGTTTTCAACCCATGATCTTGGATTCAGTCTTATAACTATTCTGATTAGTATTGTTGTGACAGTTTGCCACTCCAGAGTCTAGCCATTGTAAGGGATACAGCTGGCTCTCTGATACGTTAGCCTGCTGCCAAAGAGTTTGTAAAATATGTGGAATATTTTATGCTTACAGACCAACAGTGTGACAGAAAACACCTAGCCTGTACCAGAACTTCCGCCACCAGTAGGAGCTGCCCTGTGGAGCCATGAGCAAAGTAAGAGCTTTATTGATTGAATTACTGAACTTTTATGATTATTGATCCTGTAACAAAAGCTAACTGAGTTGGAGAATAAATTGAGGCATTGACTACCCATCTTGTAAGTGCCCATGTTCCAAGTAAGAAGACATCAGCTTAGTGTCTAAATTGAAGGAACAGTAGAAGTGGGGGACACAAGGAGACAGTGCTTCAGCAAGACAGGGATAAGACCTGGCTATTCTGGGGAGCTTAAGTAGGCCTTCTGAGCTTTGGTGCATGAGTGGGCACACATGGTCAACAGTAGGATCATTTGCAATGGTTAACATGCGTTAGAGACTTTGTTAGACAATGGGCCAAAGACTCCATGTCAGTGGCTCCCAACCTTCCTAATGCTGAGACCTTTTAATATAGTTCTTCATGTTGTGGTGACCCCCAACCATAAAATTATTGTACTGTGACTTTACTTTCTAACTGTAATTTTGCTACTGAGAAGTCATAATGTAAATATCTGATATGCAGGCTATCTAATCTGCAACCCCAAATGGGCTGTGACCCATGGGTTGAGTACCACTACTCCACATGTACTGTGTCTTAGTCCTAACAACAGCTATGCACATAAGCACTAAAAACTTTACTGACTTCCTAAGTGAGGAAATCAGGACCAGTTTGGAAGAGCAATTTGCCTATGTTTACAGATGAAGGAAGAAATGAAGACAGGATTCAAACTCTATAATATCATTAAGTAGTACTTCACTCATCTCAGCCTCCTGTGTGCATTAATTATTTGATCCCTAGGGCCCTGATGGACAAGGTTCTGCAGATAACAAAATGAGAGACAACTAGCCAGTATCTTTGCCCAGAGTTTCACTGGGACACCAAGTAGTGGTCAAGCTGGATTAACAGCTAACTAGTATAGCATGTTAACAGCTTTGGTCCCATAGCACACCCAAATGTGAAAGAGTAGGACCATAATATCTATCTTTCTGGAACTGAAAAAGCTTATTCAAGTGCTTAAAGGCAAACATGAATTCTGGACACTGTGGTTATCTTCAGGTGCATGGAGTGATGAATGGCCTTTAGTTTATTCTACAGTCATTCTTCAAAGCTACTAAACTTTCATCTTTCTTTCTTCCTTCCTTCCTTTGTTTCTTTTTGCAAGCACAATTCTCTCATTGGTGCCTTCATGTCAACTCATTTCTAGTTTTGTTTTTCTGACTATATAGTTTTACACACTACTCTGCCAAATTATAAATTCAAAGGTCTCTTAATGGAGTGATCAAGAAGAGAACGGTAGTCATGATGAGTTTTCAGAACTACTATAGGAAGTATGAAAACAAGGAAGTGGTCCCCAGATCTGTCCACACACATTTCCAGTGTCTAGCAAAAAAAGCCTCAATGGTTCCTGTCCTTTAGAGGTGGTCTCTATCTGGGCTTCAAGCACAACAGCTATATCCCCAAGAACCAGCACCTAGGTCAACATCACACACCCTTACCTTAAAAGCAGCACCTCCATGGATGATGGATTTGATAAAAATCCCCAAGTCAGTTCCAGTTTCTCGGGATTTATTCCCTTTCAAGCTAACCCCAAGGCCAGCAGAGCCAGAATCATTCAGGGGGATCTCCAAGGTGAGCTGCTCGCTTGTCTCCAGGGAGAGGGCACAGCAGTCAGGTTCTCCTTTCTGTTGGGAAGAGTGAGAGAGGAGGGCTGATTACCATTTCACCTTCTCAGATGACCTGAAGCAGATGCAGTTGGCAAGATGGGATGGTTGGGCCTCTAGCAGTTGTATTCCTGGCAGATAAAGGCTAGACTCTATCTCTGTAAGATGCTACCACCATATCTACTGCATGGGAAAGTGCTCTTTGTGGAGAGAAGTTGGCGATGGTCAAGAAAAAGGCCACTTTATGAGGCCATGTTGCACAACTTTAAACATTCTGTAGACATTTGAAAATTCAGTAGGATGGTTAAAATAATAAAACAGGCTGGATGTTAAACTCAGAAGATTCTTAGATAACATTCATTCTTCACATCTTCGTCTCACAGATAAAGATGCAGAACTTACTACATAGATAGAACTTGGTAAAAAATCTGGAGAAATATTACACTTATATAATTTAAGACATATTGTTTACTATGAGAACTACAGCATTAGTGAAGAGTATCAACAGAACACACAGCACAGGGAAATTTTCATTTTCAAGTTAGAGAAACATGTTTAACGGTTGTCATTGAATTTAATTTCATCTTATCAAAAATCATGCTGCAAGCTTATATTATTGTCTAGCAGAGCCCCCTAAAAATAAATAGGTTCTTAGACTGCAATAAAAAGTAATTATGCACAATTAATATTCATGTCCTCTCTGACAAAAGAAACCTACCCACTAGCAAACTAGTCTCCACACAGAGTGTGGTGGCAAAAGGCAGGCTTACGGGCCATCTCTCCTGGGAGAAGTATGTGGTTAGTCATACTTGTACAGAGGCTTTTCAGACACACAGGCATGAGAATCAGCACGTGCTGTGCATGTGATAATTGCGTAACTGTCCCTCCCGCACCTCTTCAAGCTTGCAGGAACGTGAAAGTGCCACAGTGCTTAGCTTTGGACAATTTGAAAATGAGATATTCCTGAAAACCATCCACTCACTCTAGGCCAGCAGTTCCTTCACCTCTGTAATTATGTCTAGAGAGGCTCATCTTAAGGTCACTCTGAGGTGACTCTTCTGTAAGATTGTGTATTTAAAACATCATCATGAGTGTCTGAATGTCAGTCTCAAATCCATATAAAATCAGAAGTAGCAAAGAACCCATAATTAAAACAGGATTAGAAGGTCTGATCATAGCCAGATCCACTGACCTGACATTTTCAACCCCGAACAAAAATGACAAGAACCCACATTTAACTTGTAAAGAAATAGTTCTTTCAATTGCTTTCATTGTAAATGAGGTTTATTGGAAAGATACTGTCAAAACAAAATATTGTTAAGAGAAATGAAACGTCATTGCTTAATTTAATAAATCTATTGTAGGTTTACATATCTATATGTAAGAAGCTCAGAAGCAAATTTCATGCCTGGAATCAAAATTACCATCCCTGGTTGTCCCCCCTCCACCCATTGGAATGCCAGAGCTCAGCAGTAAATGTAAACAGTTAGCCTTCACCTTTGTCTTCTAATCTGCCTAATTTAGAATCCATAATATTTTACAATCACTTATGTTTCTGGTCCTCTCTGGGATTGGGTTAATGTAAGTCTAATAAAGTTATATAGAATTGAACTATAAATTAAAGGACAATTGTTCTCAATTGTATGTTCTAAATACTTTAGGAAGTAAAACTAGAAAGTTCTTTGGCTACTACTAACAGAAAATTGTTAAAAAGAAACTAACTGTGCTTTAGAAATGTAGTTATATATTCTTTATTGATAGAGATGTGAGCTGATAAATACATTCCTAGGATACATGACTTTGTGTGGCAAATGTCTTTACACATACCAAAACAACTTATGGTGAATGACTGTACCTTTAAATTCCTTACTTCACGATCAAGGAGTTTTCACTTGAAAACAATATTTGACTAGTAAGATTGACAGAGATTATTGTTTAGTGCTAATGCCTTTAATTTGTTATCTAACTGCAGAAACGAAATAGAGATCACATGACATTATGGTTACCTTTTCATTCCAAAGTTCATTCTGGGAGAGCCAGAAATAAGAGCAAAACAACAAACTAGATGCTAATGATGATGGAGTTCACCTGGTACAAGTGCCTGACACATGTTAAAGCTCTTAGCTTCACAGTGACTCCAGAGGTTTATTTACTATCAGGGCAATTTTAAAGATGAAAGAATCCATGGTGCATAGCAGCCAAGAACTGTGCTAACAGAGCAGAAGACTTGTAAATACAGAAGCTTGTGATGCCCAGGAAGCATGACTCCTGGTTCCAACTCTTATTTAGTTTTAGTGAAAGGTCATGAGCTGTTTATTTCATTTTATTAAAGATAGCACTGACATTTATCCACGATCTATGGATTAAAGATTATGTATACTATGCTGTAAATGTATTAATAACAAGTGTTGTATATACTTATAGTATGTATATTATGCAATTATGAATACAAGGCTAGGAAGATGTTTTGGTGGATAAGGATCCTGAACTGGCCATCTCCTAAGACCCAGAAGACTTCCAGTGGAGGAACTGAAACACCAACCAGTCACACAACCTTTGACCTATAGTCTGTCCTGCTTATGGGAGGTGCTGGGATAAGGGTGCATAGAGATTGTGAGAGTAGCCAACTAATGACTGGTCCAGCCTAAGACCCATGCCACAAGAGTGAGCCCACCCTTGACACTGCCTAGAGTTCCAAGACCCAGAGGCTGGATGGCCCAGAGACCTAAGATATAACCAAATATGATTAGAGAAAAAAATCAACATATCAATGCCTAATGATATTCTGTTATACTCATAGATTGGTGACTACCCCAGTTTTATTTAGAGAGACTTCATTCAGTAACTGATGGAAACAGATGAAGACCCACAGCCAAACATTAGGCCAAGCACAAGGGATTTTTCTGGAGAAAGGAAAAAAGGACTGTACAAGCCAGAGGGCCAAAGGACATCACAAGAAAACCCATAGAAACAACTCATAGGAGCTCAGAGTCTGAAACAACACCCAGGGAGCCTGCATGGTACCAACTTAGGCCTTTTACACATATGTGACAGTTGTGTAGCTTGATCTACTTGTGAGACTCCTAACAGTGGGAGCAGAGGCTGTCCCTTATCCTTTGGTTGGCTTTTGGGATCCTATTCCTCATATTGGGTTGCTTTGTCCAGCCTTAATACAAGAGGAGGTGCTTAGTCTTACTGCAACTTGATACGCCATGCTTTGTTGATATCCATGGGAGACCTGGCCCTTTCTGAACAGAAACCGGAGTGGATTGGGGTGGGGGGGGGTTGGAACAGAGGAGATGTTGAGGGAGGGAGTGGGAGGAGGGGAGAGAGGTTAGGATGTAAAACAAATAAATAGATTTAATTTTAAAAAAGGGCTTTCTGTCCAAGCATAAAGAAAGGAGTTAGGATCCAGAAACTTAGCACATACCAGTGCACATAAACACATGCACCACATAAATACACATACACATAACATGGTAAAATAAAAACTTTGAACTTATTAACATAAGCATTACCTCAGATATCTATTTTTGAGGGCAGTGGAGTAACACCTCTTAAACCTGTTTTTAATGAATTTTAAGAATACCATACATTGCTGTGAATTAGAGTCACCATCCAAGTAATAAAATCATCTCTAGATCGTTCCTGTGAGAAGTGAAATTTGGTACCTCTTAACCAATCCCTTTCTAGTCTTTTTGCCCCCTAGTAATTACTTGCTTCCTGCTTCTGGGTTTTATTTTGTCTCTTTTTAAATCTTTTTCTTTCTTTTCTGTTTTTCTTTTTGAAATGATAGGTTTTCATTCCATAGCTCAAGCTAGCATCAAACTCATAGCAATCTTCCTGCATCTGTCTCAAGATTGCTGGGCTTATAAATTGGGATTGCAAGTGTGAGTTGCAACCTGGCAGTCCGATTCTTGTGTTCCAGATTTGTGACTCATAATGACATGACATAGTCACAGGACATTTCAAGATAGATTCCCATCAAACTTGAAAGTAACATGATACACAATTTATATTCTCTATCAACTACGCTGTAACGGACTTGACTCATAATTAGTGGTTTCTAATAATGGCAAATTCCCAATGGTGAAGGAAGCCATTATAGTAGTTAACACAGCCATTTCCCCTCTTAGAAATAAATGTTCCTTTAACTAATGTACAAAGAAAAAAATCAATATACTGAATGCCTCATACCAATAATCTTGGTTTAAATAGCAACTCTGAAAATTAAACTCAAACCTTGTCAAGCAACATTCTGCAGTGGATGGGATGGTGTATAAAGCACTCACCAGTGCCAGTACCTCCAATTAAGGTCATCAGAGATTTGGCCAACCTGAGGTCAATGTCACATCCAGACTGCAGATGCTTCCTGGATTCCTGTCTTTTCAGCAAGAGATCTTCCCACATGTGTTAGGTAGACCCCTGCCTTTTCTCCTACAGATACCTACAACTCCCTACCAAAAACACTGGTGTTATAAGGGCAACTTGTGAATCATGGTTTTAATTTGCTTTTTTTTTTAATAGCTTGTCACTAGTGCCTCGGGACACAAAGTCCTCAATATTCCCAGGGTTAAGCTGGGATAGATACTCAACATGTGCCCACTATGTAAAACTAAACTCAACTCCCCAGCACTTTCTAGGGACCAATCATGAGAATCCTCAGCTTGGGCCTCAACCTTTGCACAACTGACATGTGGCTGTGTAGGACTGTCCTATGAATTGTAGTTAACCACGTCCCTATAGCCTCAGTAATGCTCCTGCACCAGCTATGACAACTAAAACTGCTGCAAGCATTGTCATATGTCATCTAGGTTCAAATTACATGCAGCTGAGAAACTACTAGTCCTGACTTAATATTATCAAATAAAGCCAAATTAAAAAATGCCAGGATCTAGAAAGTATAATAGAAGTTGCTAGCTACATTGATGTTACTGATACATTCCCAAGTCCCAAGACAAAGAACACCCTTGCAACTGGGCAGATCTTTACTCCACAGGCTCATGACTACTACTGTGAGA